CCGTTACTAGCGTGGGGTATCTAATAAAGTGGCCGGTGAGTGTATATACTGTATATCTTCTAATAGCCTGGTAAAATCCAGACCCCTGTCCTTCACTTTGCAGGGAAACTATTGAGCAGAATTGCATAGGAAGGCAAGGGCCAGGCTAATCTTCTAATCGTGAATAATGGTGTTATAATAGTTTTAGTCAAACCTTTTCAATTACATTCTGTGATATTTCCTGATTTTAGGAAATCTTGTGAAACCTTGTGAGGAGAGCAGAGTTTAGATGATGTGTCCGCTACCACGCCAAATCTTAACATGAAAGGCATCCACAAATTTGCATTCCTTCAGTTCCTTCAATGAATGCCAGGCCTTTTTTAAATATCAGCTTTTAGAAAGATAAATGTTGCAATTTCTACATGATCAAACTATTTCGTTCTAATACAGCAGAGGTGCCCAAAGTGGGGCCTGTGGGCCAAAATTGGCCCGCCGAGACATTTGATTTGGCCCACCAGCAGCTGTCCTGGTTACCAGATTGTAATTATGTTAAGATTAAATATAAAATACAAGTAACTACAAGAGACATTTAGGTTAGATTTAAGCCCGTATTTAGACTTGCAYACCTTATAAGACCACATATACTCAAATTTTAAATTAGGAAATGTCCCATGAGCCTTTGCTGCCTTAGCATGTGTTGAATTTTCTCCATGTCCATAGGCTGAAAAAAATAAAAATAAAAACTAAAGAATGTGGGCAACCACACTGGCTGCTAGCTTAATCATAAAAACAATATGACAACTTTACTTAAGTATTTGCATTTCTGAAATTATTGCATTTGGCCCCCGGACCTCAGATTGATTTTAGTTTTGGCCCTCTCAAGTAAAATGTTTGGGCACCCCTGTAATACAGCAAGATATTCAACAAGAAGGCCATGAAATATTGAGAAAGCTATAAATCTCTTAACTCGTATAAAAATTTAATGATTAAAAACAAGTTACAGTTTATTCACTTCACTTCAAGTAATCTCAAAACAAATGTGTTTTGATGGGGGAAATGATAGAAACAAATGGTCCTGTAGTATTTATTGACCAATCGGCTGTCTGGAAGGAAATGGGAAAAAACAGCCTGAAGAGGAGCGCGCCTCGCCTGTGACTGAGCACAGAGAGGACGTACATCTGCGACGATAGAAGCGGAGGGCCGATTATCAGACTGAAAGAACGCAGTGATATTCTGTTGTACAGACGATATTTAGGGCAACTGGATTTCTATCCATTCCGAAATGAGTGTGATTCAGGCGGGGCACGAAGGGAGGGTGGATGGTGGCGGCGGCTCCCCGAGGCTCCAACCGCGCGCTCAGCCTCCCAACAGCAGCAGCAGCAGCCGGTCCAAGGATCCCAGATATCAGCAGCAGAGGCATCATGGTGGGTCGATGCTGAAACAACCATCCCAGAATGAGCCAGCTGATGCCGTGAGGCGGGCGTTGGACTTTAAGAGCCAGGGCACCCAGTGCTACAAGGATAAAAAATACCGAGAGGCGATCGGCAAATACCACCGCGCTCTGCTGGAGATCAAGGGACTGTGCAGGGTGCTGGGGGAACCGGACGCCAGCTCCAAGTCCCCGTCCCCCATCCTGCCGTCCATCAGCAGGTCCACCACGCTGACAGATGAACAGAAAGGGGCGATGGAAAATGCAGAGCTGGAGTGTTACAACAGTCTGGCCGGTACGAGTCGTTTTTTCCTTCATATTTCACCCTCACTGCTGCAGGCTTAACTTCAGAATGACTCACAAAAACAAGTAATTATCAGACTGCTATCAGATTGCTACACTTCATTACATCATTTACATCAGGTTTTTTAAACCTGTTAAATGGAATCACTGGCTATCAAACTCAAATACTAGCACAATAAGTGTGATCAGTGTTTTTTTATTTCTTTCTTTCTCATTTTGTCTTCCACTGTTCTAGCTTGTCTTCTGCAAATGGAGCTGGTGAACTATGAACGAGTGAAGGAATACTGCCTCAAAGTCCTGCACAAAGAAGGAAAGAACTTCAAAGCTCTTTACAGATCTGGTGTGGCCTATTATCATCTTGGAGACTTCCAGAAGGCCCTGTACTACCTAAAGGAGTCACACAAACAGGAGCCAT